ATCCAGGCCTAGCCAAACTTAAGGCATGTGGCTTATCACAATGTATTTCTATAACTAAATCATCGTTTCCCCTTTGATCTGCTGAAGGACTCACACATGAACTTGCTAGAGTACCATCCTTTAAACACATCCCCAGTACTGAAAAGAAATGCTCTGATTGCTTTATTTCCCCACTAAGTGATGTGTGCCTGTGAAACACTGTGGCCTCAGCAGCTTAGATCTTAATAAATCTATTTAAGATTCAGACCATTCAAAGTTTTTTCTTCTCTTAAAAAGATCCACAGAAATACATTTCCAGTCCTTAAATTGAAATCTTACGAGATTTTGAAGACATTATTAGCTAGAGCTGAACACAGCTTTAGGAGAGTCCTGGAGTTTTCCAATGTATTTCAAATGGCATCCAAGACTTTCAGCAGGTTTTAGTTGCTTGCACTCTTTCTGAGACAAGAGTGGAATAAGTATTGAAGAAACACTGATCGAGAAGCTCAGAAGTGGACTACAAAATCTTACCAGAACTTGTCAGGAATATTTTGGTTGTAAATCCTTTTGGTTGTAAATCCATCTGGAGAACGATCAAAAGGTGGATTTCTTCTCATGAGGGTCTGACCTGACAAAGAAGTCTCCCTAACAGCATTTTGAAATGTCTGCTTTAGGTGAGTACAAGGAACTGCTTGCGATTTCTACACGGTACTTTCCAGGAGGCTGGAGGGTGTTCTTATTTTTCTGAAAACCAGCTGGCTTCTTGCAAACTGACAGCACTTGAATGGACCAGTCCTCTACTTCTGCTGTATCTCAAATGTCCTACTAGGTGAATCAAATTAAATACCTCAGCAATATTCACAGAGAAATAATTTTCAAATACTTTCTGACTTTTTGCTAATAAAAATAGCAGTTAACTGAACACAAGTTCAGAAAGCATTTTAATAAAACTAAGAAACATACATATGTTTTGGAGAATGCCTAACTTACTTTTATACTAACCAGGACAGTTATCATACACTGGTACCTGTAGTCTATACAGATTTCAGAAATTTCTTGTAATAACTTAGAAAGAGTTTATTTCTGTAGATTAGATGATCTAAAATTAATCTTCTCCATGTTTTAATTTCCATAAATACTTTAAAAATGAAATTACAATTAAAGTCAGCAGCACCTAAGTGCAATGGCAACTCAGTGCAATGGTTTAGTTAAGATTAACTTTTGAAATTTTTGTTTTCATAAAACTTGTCAGCAGCTGTGAAATTTTTCTTCGATGTATACAGTGGCATACATGAATGTTCTTACTGCAGGTTAGAAACAACAAAGCTCCTTATATTGATAGCAAATGCATACAGTAGACATTCTTCTGAATAATTAAAAAGAACTGAAGTTCTTAGTTTCTGTACAGATTTGCCTCTTTCAGCTAGAAAACCCACTGCTGGAAGGCCTTAAGTGGTCCAAGGAAAGCTTTATTTTAAAGTTGTTCTGCAGAGTTTACCTGCAGCTGCATAAATGCTTCTCGAGCTCTTCCTGTATCTAGGAGGCAAACTAGATCTCCTCAACAGCCATGGAGGGAGCAAAAATAATCTGGACCCATACACAAACCACTGAAAACGCTTATTCTTGGAGTCAAACTCGTTAACAAATGCGTATTGACTTGGAAATTAATGTACAGATTCCTTTTTTTAAAAAAAACCCAACAACTTCCAACTCACTTGACTAAACCTACAATTAAAATGTGGTAGCAGTTGTGACCTGGCCCACATATACTGCATTTCAGGGTATGGGATTTCCAATGATTTAAAAAGTAGGACTATCCCACAATTTACACAATGTTTTCTGCATTTTTTCAAAAATTCAGTTGTTATTTTTAACTAATACTGAAATGTTAAAAGGTTTTTAAAAATATTCTGCTGCTATCCCTGAGTAAGACATTGTCATAAGAGACTTGGCACAGCCAGATACAAAACAAAGTAATTCTCATGTTTGAATGATTTTTTAAAAGCTATATTATTTAAATTATATAGCATTTATTTTTTCTGGAAATAGGCAGAAGAACGTGACTCTTAAATATCATTTATTGTTGAAAAAGGAGAGCAACCCACTAACAGCGGTGCTACGTTTTTACAATGAAATAGCTTTTTTTCTATATTCTAGGTGCTTATCAACTAAGAACTTCTCTCCAAATAGACTAAATGGAAATATCCACAGTATTTACACCTCAACCTCAAGTATATTATAGATTGCTTAGTTTTTCTTTGTACATTAAAAAAAAAAGAGGAAAGAGCATGGTATTTGGTTGAAGAGTTCTGATGGTGTTTCTGGGGTGGTGTTACCACTGAAACAGAGCATAACTATCACACTGAATTACAGGTCTCATGAATTCTGGGAGCTGCTCTGCACATTCAGATTACATCAGAAGGTGGGTATGCGGCCTCCTCCACATGTTGCAGGAAAAGCTCAGCACCTATGGAGTGACATCTCAAAGCTATCCACTAATAATAAAACCCACCATTTTTACTTCATTGTCATGTTTTGCATCCAGTAACTTTCCAGTCCATATTCCTATAAGACTGGAAGCCAGTACAATGTTGCTGTTTGCTCTTCAGCAAACAGGAGGTACCTGCAGTTTCCCAATCTACCTGTTAGTAAAGTATAACTGCATCTTCACCTGGCTACTGGGCAGAGTTCCGTTTTCAGAGACAGTGGACAGATCTGTGACAATAGGACAGGCAGGACCTACCTCTGGCAAACACTAGGGGAATCACTCAAGCGCCAGTAAAAAAATAATTACTTCCATGACTACATGTCTGTAAAAACTGAGTTTTCTCCACACCAACTGCAGAGTTTGCTGACACCAGATTTTTATGGTGGCTTTCTGCCAACCTGCTGAAAATAATATGCCTTTTCGTTTCTGAAAGTGGACAACATGTTATGTTGCTGTGTTTTAGTCTGATGGGCAAAATACACACTACTTACACTTTCCAGCCATCACGGGCAGGCTTAGCCTGTGATAAACTGAAGTCTAAGTAGACACGTCCTCTTTTGTTTTCGTTTTCTAATATTGCTTTCACCACCTTGGAAGTGGTAAAAATACTGTCACTCAAGACGAGAAGAACAAGACGGGAGGGAAATACAATTTAATTAATGACACAGACCTCATGCAAGTAAAGTCAAGTCCATTTTTGAATCAACAAAATCTGATTTCAGGCCAGTTTGGAAACCACAGCAGCTAAACAGTTGCCTTAAACTGAGCGAGTCAAATTCTTCATTTTGTTTTAAAGAAAAAAAATGTTGTATTGACTCAACTCTGAGCCCATACAGCATTGAGATGAATCCAAATCCATGATGCATTAGCAAGCAAAAGATTATGATGTCACCACAAATGTTACGAAGTCACTATTTCCAAAACACAAAAGCAGAAAAACAGATTTACAGGAACCAGATGGGCCAAGTTAGGATTCTTTTCTTTTTTTATTTTGAAGAAAAATAAGTAAAGCTATCCAATTTGTAATCATAATGCTTGTTTTCTATATTGCTTATTAGTATGACAGAAAGACTGTGTAAAATGGAATGATTCCAGGTTTTAAGATAAAGTAACTGATTTGACTGAAATAATTCTGTGCATCTGTTTTTCATTTTCAATTTTGTTCATATCAGTAGTGTGCTATTTTCATTTACTCATACCTCTGGGATTCAACTTTTTGCTTCTATCTTTACAGTTCTGGTATATTCATTATATGGTAAAAGGGATGGGGTGGAGGAGAGGAACAAATAATAGGTGAAGCTGCGGCAAATGGCACAAGGATACAGTCCCTTCCTGGAAAGAGGATTTTGTGGCGAACCATTTCTCCCATAATGCATCCCACAGACCATATATCCACTAGAACAGCAGAGACAGGGAAGTGAAGGAGGAAAAAAAAGCAAAGTTAACTACGACATTTCACTCCTAAAAGAGGGGAAAAAGAGCAAGTTGATCAGAACAGTACAGTTTGTTTTGTGGTTTTGTTGGTTTTTTTTTCATGTCTCACCAAAAGCTAAAATAAAGAAGTAAATAAGTAAAAACTGTGTCAGCTCAACGGTAGTTAGTAACAACGGTGGAAAAAGTTTATAATCAACATTTTTGGGAAAAGGCCCACAGCTAGCAAGTAAAGATCAAGTAACAACTGCACAGACCTGTGGTATACACTGTGTTTATGGTGAAAAAAAAACCCTCTTTTTTTTTTTTTAAGAAAAAACCAAAAGCAAACAGAAACCAAACCCAGACGATGATCATCTGGAATAAATCCTACTTGTACCCAGGAAGTTTCTAGGCTTTGTCCTGTAGGACTGAGTCTCTCTGCAGCAGTGCACAAGAGGTTCCAAACAGAACTGCTCACATGAGTAAAGGCCATATGGATAAATATCACCCTTAAGGGTTATTTAAAAGTCCTGCTTCAGGTTCTGTATCTATGTCCTGCCTATAGTTACCCATTGGTATGTATCTATCTGTACCTACATACTGACTGGAAAGAATTGGGGAGTGTGACGTGTGTGGACTCTGCTTTTCACTCTGTAAGTGCTCAAAATAAATCCTAAAATAAACGCTTTGCAGGACAAGTACCAACAAGACTAAGAGCATTTCTTATCTTCCTGATCCTGCCTCAGCTTTTAGATGCAATATTCATAGTGACTTAATCTGCTTGACTTGGTTGGGGTTTCTTTTGTCCTTTAAGTCTTACAAGAAAAAAGGCTAGATAGATAGTGATACAGTATGCACAGAAAGAAGAGACCTGTATTCCATGTGAAGGGGAAAAAACTGCTTTCAAATGCTTTAAAATCCCACGTTTCTCAACTTTGAATCCTCATTTTGTGGTCATGTTTGACCTACACAACCAGTTTCTCCTCTTTTTCTTCCCCTTTTTATCCTTCAAAAGCAATCCAAAACAAACCAAAGAAACAAACAACTCATTTCTTGGTAAAACAAAATAAAGGTGAAATGTTCCATTTGGGAAAAGGAGGGTACAGGTATCAGGGGCATGGGACAGCAAGAGCATGCCTGAGGCAGTGGCAGAGTTTTCTTCATAGTGACAGTTTTGGGACCTTCCACGGAAGTGCAGCAAACTGGTGATAATTATGCATCTTTAGCCAATCAAGTGCAGAAGAAAATTAAAGCAGTGAACAGTCCTTATACAGACAGTGTACATAGTAAGAGGGAAAAAAAAAAGTAGAGGAGCTTCAGTAATGTGGCAGCATAGGCCAGAGCAGGGAAGCAAAGAACAACCCTTTTTGTTTTCCTTGGGAGCTGGATCAGAGCCTCCAAGCAGACTGGCTCCTCAGATAGCTGACCATTTTAAAATATTTCATTTTCTTTCTCTGTTTACTTTATTTTTGCTTTGTACAAGTAAGATGACATCAGGCATCTTGAGCCATATTCATTGCCCAAGGAAGTCAAAGGAAGTCTCTATGATAACATTAATGGACATTTGATCAGGACTTTTGGATGTGGCAAACATTCTTAGTACCTTCCCAGCTGTGTACTTCATCGCAAAAGTGTGTCTAGCTTTTTGCTGGTGTGATTTTAATCATGTGAAAAACAAGTGCTTTCTCTGTCCTTTCAGGGACAATAACAACAAAGGTAATCATCTACCAAAAGGTGATTGGTCGATGATTGGTCCAGAGAGAAACAAACCCCCAAAATAATTCATTTCACAGTAAAAGGAAATCTGGATATTAACTAAGGTACTATCTAAAGCGTGCAGAGCCTAGTTCAAATTTCTAATGGCATTTATCAAAAATATCAATTACAAAATGTTTTAAGGAAGATTATTCCCTTTTCAGAAATTATTCTGTACGCAGACTCTGCTTAATAATTCTCTACTTTTTAGACTTTTATATTAAAATGTGTACTGTAAATTCACAATAAATAATTCATGCAGAGACTTGCTAAGTTTGGAAAAGGTTGTGTGAGCATGCCTTTATTCTTGATTAAGTCATGGAATCAGCTCCCAAGATCCATTTCACTGCCCTTTACAGGATGCAGTTGGCTGTTAGTAAATGTTCTCCTGCAGGTTAACTAACCTCTTCAACATAAATTAAGACTTTATAATAAATTCCTGGGTTTGATGTTTGCTGTATTTGTCACCAAAAAGTCTCGGTGTCAAACAGACAAGTGGTAGCTTTTGACAGCAGAATCTTTGTCAGAGCAGATTTTTCCCTGCTATATGTTGTATCCCCTCCTTTCCTGCCTGGTCTACCTGGCACTCAGATGTAACTCTTGGTTTTGTTACAAAATGAGAATAACTTATAAAGTTTTCCCTTCATTCCCTGCAAAATGTGAATTTTTCTTTACCTGCTTGTCTATAGTAAGCACCTCCTACTTGCTTTTCACAATTTTTCCAGGGACTAACAGGTATCCAGATCCCTCACAGACTGTTCAGAGCAAAATCCTGTTTACATCTAGGGGGATTACATACAAATTAGATGCATGTTTTTTTAGCTTCAGCTTTTCCCTCTTCTATCCAACTCTACTTTCCATTAAAAAAGACTCAAACTGCAAAATTTATACCTAGATCTTGTCCACACGATACCTGTCAGCAAAACCTGGGACTTTAATTAAACCTATCACAAAGACAGAAACCATTTCTGAAATTCAAATTTAGCTCTGGATTTGGAGAAATTCTGGAAGGACTAGGATTCCCTGTTTCAGCTTGTACCTCTTCTTCTTCCCTCAAACAATTCAGAGACCCAGACTCAAATTTAGAACACGTCACTTGTTCAGCAATTCCAGTGGTTCCCACACCGTTTCACAGCCACAGAAGCCAAAGTCATTCTTGTCAGACAAAGCTAATTGTATTTGTTAAGTCAACCACAATCAAGAACAAGTTTCTTATTACTCTGCAATCCCACACTGATAAATTCACCAGCATTGCATCTCAAATACATTCTGTAGCTGCAGCATACAACAGTGAGAAACTGCTCTAAATGACCTGCCTTTTAAAATCAAGGTGTCATTTTCCATTAATGTTTTCTTTGTCTCCTTCTGATGCCCCTTACAATTGTAGAGGCAGACCTTACACTTCAGGTCGCACTGTGCTTGCTATGAAATTGCTGCCCTACCGTTCTCCTTGTAGCCCATTCCCAAGATGACCTCTGGTGCTCTGTAGTACCGCGTCACCACATATGGAGTCATCATGAAGCTGGTGCCTGCAGTCCTGGCCAGCCCAAAATCCAAAATCTTCAATGTGCAGTCAGATTTTACCACAATATTACTCGGTTTTAAATCCTGCAAAAGATAGTGAAAAGACATATGACTGTCCTTCATAAAGCCAAGCGCAGCTGTGATATGGACTGATATTTTAGGTCACTCTTCAAATATTCTTTTACTCTTCTGACGCTTACAGTTACTATCAGATATAATTGTAAATACACAGCAAAACCTTGCTACTGTTTTTCTAGCAAACTGTCCTGGAAGATGTTCTAACTTGGCATACTGTGGGGCTTTACCTGGATAGCAGGAGCCTACTGGTGTGGAATTGCATTTAGCAGTTCAAGAAACTAGGATTAGTATTAGAGTACCGTTTTTATTTTTAATGCTGTGAGCCCAATAGACACATTCCAATCGTACGTGTGGAGATACTTTAATGCTTAATTTATAATAGTCCAATTCATCCTTTGCTGGATGACTATCTGGAAACCAAATATATCATCATTTGCTAAACATACAATGTGCCAAGAAAGGAGATCTTTGTATATTGTAAAGCAGCATCCATTTTATAGCCCACTTTATCAGCCCTTGTTTTCTTCCTCTCATAATGGAAGGGAAATATTTTTGGGTGTGTTTTTTTTTGGCTGGAAATCTCAAATTAGTAAAAGCACATTTCAATAAAGAAGTTAACTCAGGATATTTTCAATCCATTCAGAATTACCTCCTGCTCACATGAGCCGTTCCCTCTGTTGTCAACAATCACACATAACGCTACCTCTGGCATTCGCAGCCAGGTACCACATCCTTACTAGACACAGCACTCTGGTGTGGAAAAGCAAAGTGAGAGGATGCATTTAATTTTCACTTAGCAGTCTTTTCATTTTTTTAGTACACATAAATGATGGCAAATGCCAATTTCATATGCCCTGACCTCTGCGGATCCTGATCAAGCAATGCTTGGACCACGCTATAACATCAATTCGAACGTCATGCCTGCTAGATGTAGTCAGCCGCATTTTCAGTAGAAATAACATTTATCTACACATTTCAGAGATCATAATCCTTTTGATGATTTCCAATGCTTCTTATTTGGTTATTATTTTTAATAATCACATTACCTTTTTGTCTGGTGAAGTTCACAAATAATCTCATTCCTAACACAAGCATGAAGCTACTCTGCTAAAGGGACGGACTGTAACTCGTAAGTTTATAGTCATTTTACTGGGAGATAGGACTTTGATCCATAGTACACAAGAAACTCAAGGGGTTTCTAAAGTCTTCATGATGATGTCATATGCTGCCTTAAGTTTTAAACCAAAAGCCCCTTACCCTGTGAATAATTCCTGCAGAGTGAAGATGCTTGATACCACAGAGCATTTGGTACAGTAGATAAGACATTCGCTCATGGTCTAGCTCCATCTGAATAACCTGGCACAGATTGGCATCCATTAACTCCATTACCAGGTAACTGAATGAAAAGCAAAGTCATAGGGTTAGTCTGTGTTGAGGAGGAACAACAGCATCATCTCAAACTAGCAACAATGCCTTTTCTTGTTTCAAAATTCACTTTATTTCTGATAACTGGGAGTAACACAGCTGGAGACTGGGCCCACTCACAACGGTACCATTGTGGTTTCTCACTGCGCCATCTCACTGCAGAGACACCTTTCTTTTAGCATCCCAGCAAAACAGGTGGATTGCTGGCCCTTTCTTGTTACATTCCCCATGACAGAGGATGTACCCTACATGGGCAAACAGGTGGCATGGCAACTGAAATGTGCAGGAAACAGAAGAGCCACCAGCACCAAATGAAACAACTGCTTGGCGTTTGACCATTATGAGGATTGGCTACCACAGCACACACAGGAATTGGAGAGTAGTAGAGAGGCTAAAATATGCATCTCTATGTGACGTGTCTCAAAAAATCCCCCTAAGATTGCATGACTGCACAATTCTCATTACAACTAATTGTTCTTGTGCTTCTGATAAATAAGCTTCACTGGCAATCTCAGCAAGATGTTAACCCAATCCCCTTTAGCGGTAAGTTAATGTTAAACGCATCAGCTCATTTCTTATGAGATATCTCACAAGCACAGCTGATTCATAACTGTAACATTATATTAAAGCATTCTCAAACTTTGAGGAAAACACTAGCTCTCCATTTCAATGTGAGCTGCATGCCTTGTCTTCTTTCCAGCACTAGTTGCCTCCTCTGCTCTGCCCAAGTCTGCAGTGACAATATTATGTGGAAATTCCATGTGCCAAAACCAGAACAGTAGTTGCCTGGCTTCGGCCATTGCTATCTGTCTGTTATTACAGCTGATACTGGAGTACAGAATGGGAATACATTTCCATACAATGCATACAGAATATGGGAAAGACTGAAAGGTAAAAGGAGTAGAACTATATAAAACACTGAATATTTAAAATTTCATTCAGGGCAGGTTCATACTATGCACTGTAGTGCTTGTGCAACAGGGCAATGTTCAGCAGAGATGGCAGTTGTCCTCTACGCCTAGCACTAGTTCCTCAGGCAAGTAATTTTACACAGTCAAAGGTTATATCAAAACAAATATGAAATGAGGAAATGCTTCACATCAGTCTTTTTTATGCGAAGTTATTTCAGAAAGAAGTGCTACATTTCAAAACCTCACACATGTCAGCGAGTCACATAACAACCATCATTTCCCAAGCAAGTTAATAACACAAAAGCAGGCCCTTTTAACTACTCATACCCCTTCCTCTGCATGTGAAGGCAAATATAAATGCACTAATCCTCCCAAGAAGAGCCACCAGCAGGCTTTGCACACTATTACAGTTCTTAGGAAACCTGTTATTTGGCAACTTGTGTCAAAAGCGCTCTCAGTATGCAAATGCAGAATATCTGTCTACCCACACTGTAGACTACACGTGATCTTTTTTAGAGGGGCTGAGTTTCACTGAGTTATTGCATTCAAGGTACACTATAATGCCCACACATCTCTAAAGCTTTAGTTTAATTACTGCCTGTGTTACTTACACATCCTGGAACTCCTCCAGAGATTTCTGTGGTGTGAAGACATTTAATAAACTGATAATCTGAAAAGCAACGTAAGACAAAAGGATGAAGAGAAGTGGTAAATGTAAGCAGTTGAACCCATTTTGAAGTGTGCATTAAAGGATAAACTCTGTTTTTTCACTGCTCAATTTATACTAACATTTCTAACTTTATGGGTCAGTAAAAAGTTGGCAACATTCACAATAAAATACCCCAGATCTCTAAGATTTCTTCTAGGTGCACTTGAAATGGTTTCTCAGAGAAGGTTAGTGATGATCAGTGACAAATCAAAATGCTAAGGGTGAGACAGTCCTCTGAATTTTGAAGTTACAGGTTCAAAGACCAACTTCAGCTCAGTCTAGTAGAGCAGTCCTTGTACTACAGTCAGAAAATTCTCATATATGAAGAATGATCATCTGAGCAAATAATCAAAGGACCATCTAATTAAAAATAAACAGAAGACCTTCCTTCCATCTGACATGGCCTCAATTCCTTTGAGGATATATATATACACACACGGTGACACAAATTCCATCATGAGAGGTACTGCTTTTTAGTAGAAGCATTTTAAAAGGGTAAACACATTCTGGACAAAGTCGTCTTGCATACTGCAACTTGAATTGGGCTGGACTGTTGAAAGAATGTGTGAAACGGCATAGAGGAAAAATGTGACCTCAGGGATCTGAATTTCCAATGCTTTCCTTCTGTGTGGGCAACAGAGGTAGAAGATCATAGATGCCGTGAAGACATCTGAATGTCTCTCTCCCTGCCCCTATCATCTCTCTAGGCTTTTGTAGAGTTTGGTGTCTGGCGGGGTTTTGCTGCGGTTTTGGTTTCGGGGGAGAGGGCTATGGAGGTGGCTCCAGTAAGAGGCTTCCAGAAGCTCCCCCAGCTCCAATTTCGGACCTGCCTCTGGCCAACGCCAGACCAATGGAGCCTCCGCAAATAACTCCATTTAAGAGTGAAAGAACCTGT